GCTGCGCCGGCTGGTTGTCCGTGTGGACGAGCGTGGGCTCGCACAGGACGGCGCCGGTGAGCTCCTCCTGGAGTTGGCGAAGGAACATGAGTTCCTGTGCGGTGGCTGCGAGAGCCATGTACTCCGCGTCGGCGGAGGCTGTGGCCACGGTGGCCTGCAGCTTGGAGTTCCAGGACACGGGGCCCGTGGAACAGAAGACGACGAAGCCCGTGCGGGAACGTCGCGTGTCAACGTCGGAGGCAAAGGACGCATCCGAGTACGCTGAGAGCACGCCGTCGGCAGTGCTGCCGTTGCTGGTGTCGCCAGTGGCGGCGTACTTGATGGTGTAGGACAAGGTGCCCTTGATGTAGCGAAGAAGGTGCTTGGCAGCCTTCCAATGGTCCATGCCGAAGTGCTGCATACGGCGAGACAGGATGGAGACAGCCGCCGAGATGTCTGGGCGCGTCATCGTCGCAGCATAGAGGAGGGAGCCAAGCAGCTCGCGGAACGGCACATCCGGGAGTGGCTCCTCCTTGTCGGCTGGCTTGTCGACGTAGCCCGTGCAGAGCGGCGTGCCGACAGGCTTGCAGTCAGCCATGCCGAAGGTCTCCAGCACGCTGCGCAGGTAGTGCTCCTGGCTCATGGTGACGGTCCTGGCCTTGCGGTCGTGCTGCACCTTGATGCCGAGACAAATGTCTGGGCTGCCCAGGTCCTTCATCTTGAAGCGCTTGGAGATGGAGTTCTTGAACGCGGCCATGTCGCTGTCGCTGTCGGCGAAGATGAGGAGGTCGTCCACGTAGACGGCAACCCACATCACTTTGCCACCCTTACAGGTGCGGCGGTAGATGCAGGCGTCCGTGGCTGTGGCGACGAAGTCCTGCTCGCGCATCCAGGCGTCCAGCGTGTGGTTCCACAGGCGCGGGCTCTGCTTCAGCCCATACAGCCCACGCTTGAGGCGCAGCACCGTATTCGGCGAGAAGATGCCGTCGACGGCCGGTGGCTGGACGTAGATCTCGTGATCCACGGGCGCGTTGAGGAACGCCGTGTTGACGTCCATCTGCTGGACGTCCATGCCACGCGCGACGGCCATGGCGAGCATGATGCGGATGGCTGCGATGGTAGCCGTCGGAGCAAAGGTGTCCGTGTAGTTGACACCGTGGACCTGGGAGTAGCCTTTGGCAACCCAGCGCGCCTTGTACTTGATTACCTTGCCCTGGTCATCGCACTTCCTCCGAAAGATGACCATGCTGTGGAGCACCTTCTGGCCCTTGGGAAGGTCAGCGCGAGGCACGACGTCGTAGACGTCATTGGCCTGCATTGCCGCAAACTCGTCCAGGATGGCTTGGCGCCACTCCTCAGAGTCTGGCGAGGCAAGCGCCTCCTTGACGGTGGCTGGCTCAGCTGACGTGGCAAAACTGCCAGCAGCGATGTCTGGTAGATGACCACCCACTGCTGATGTCTTCTCCCCCGTACCAGCAGCGCTGGTGGCAACGTGACACGTGGTGGTTGAGCCACCAGAGGTGTCCTTGTCGCCGAGGGTCTCAGACACCAGAAGCTGGTCCCAGACGGAGCCGCCAAGGGCGCGTGGCTGGAGCTGCGGCTCCCCCGCACGTGGTGCAGTGGGAGCACCAGTGGCACTGTCCTCGGTTGAACGCTGAGCGGTCTTGTTGGCATGCGAAGCAGAGGCACCGCTGTTGTCCTGCTCTTGCTGCTGCTGAGAGGAGGCGGCGTGCTTGTTCTTGATGGCGCCGAAGCGAGCGTGGATGGTGTGGACAACGCGTCGCGTGTCCGGCATCCAGACGACGTGGGCCTGGTCCTCCTCGGCGAAGCCGACGTAGACGCCAACGCGTGAGCGTGGGTCAAGCTTGTGCCGCGTGCTGCTCTTCTCCACATGCACGTTGTGCTCGGCGAGTCGAAGACCCCCAGCAGGCTTGACGTCCAAAGGGGCGCCCAGTCAGGGGCCTCTGACGGTGACTTGGCCTTTGACGTTCCTGCTTGGCGCGATGGTTGCGCACCACTGTGGCGAGCTGAACGATGAAGCCCCCAAAACTCCTTGATCCAGGGCCCTCAACAAA